CCAGGGTCATCAAATTTCGACAGTCCAAATGTTGATGTAGGGCTGTAACAAATGCTCACCAATTGGAAAGAAATCTGTCGTGGGAGAGTCTTTAGAACAAGCAAGATGCTCATTTATTTGAATTGAATTGTGCAATTAGGAAGCATTCACTTTTGGTATTTGGTATTAATCAAAATATCGATTGGCATTGGACACCCAATCAGTGGGATCACCGTTTGACAATTATGGAAATGAAAATTTTAACTATAGGATATATGAAGGGTTCGTCCACATGTCGTACAAGTAATAAAGTGTATAAATAAGAGTATCCTTCCCACGAGGATAAGATTTCAACCACTAGTTCTTTATTCACACGTAAGTTGGACAATTGATAAAGAGAATTGTACAAAAACTAACTTAAATAACAAAGCAAGAAAGCAAAAATTGAGTTACTTGACAATCAAGAAAACGCAGTTAGAAATTTGATTTCCCTCAAATTCCCCTTTATGTCATGAATTAAAACCCTTAATTAAACGTCATTTTCATATCGCTAATCAATTCCCCTAAGTTAATTAAGAATCAATCCCTTGACATATTAATTCTTTACTGTCTTTAATAATCCTAGTTCTCTGGTTTTTCTTCAAAGAAAATAAACATTAAATCCAAGAATCATAAAGATTGCATTTTTTTTTTTTTTTTTGTAATAAAGATTGCATTATTTCTATGTCTATGCCTAAAATTATAAGAATTAATGATAAATTTATCACATGCGGTTCATGTACCAACATCTCTATAGACACTCATCCTAGATCAATCTACAAGATCAAACTTATAGAAGGAATGAAGAAAAGATAAATTCATTCAATATAAAAAGAAAACTTGACATCTATTATTATTCATAACATAAAGATTTGATTGAGTTCCATCTAACCGTAACTACAAAGGAGACTAGCCTAACATAATAGAAACAAGAAATGAAGAAATCTTCTCAAAACTCCATTGGTGTGATAGCGCAGTGAATCTTTAAGGGTTTCGGTGTAATCTTGCCTCTGACTCATCTCTGATTGTCAAAAGCATGAAAAACACACTTGTTGAATGAAAACTATGCCTTTGGTGTCAAGTAATGTCAAAGACTGACTGCCTAAGACTAATGAAGAATTTCTTAAATATATATAGGAATCCTTGTTTTACGTGAAAACCACATACTGGGCCTTAATTTGGTCGCAATCGGGTGTTAAAATGCGCTAGAGCGCATTAAAACAACCTCTAGAAGAAAGAACTTCATGTATTAGAGCATTAAAACACATTATTTTAACAGGAAAAATATGGTTTTGTATTTTGGGCATAAATTGAGCTATACTCGTTTGATTGATGGATCTTGGTCTCGTTAAAAAAGATAAAACAAATAGCTAAAACTTCTATGAAGAACACAAGATCCATGTCCATTATCTTTGAAACAAAAAATTGGTCGGAAGACAACTTCTGAGATATTTTCACTAAATCATTGCTCCTCATTTATCGCTTTAAGTTCTTCTAACTTAGCCATTGCTCCAATGATCAAATTGAACTCAATTGTCCTACAAAACAAACAAGTATCATTCACACAAGTCAATAATTCAAAGTTAATGTTTTTTAACCAAATAAATCTAAGTTTTCATGGTTTTAAGTAGATATAAGATTAATTTTATTCCTTTAAAACATGATAAACTATGAGTTTATCAGTTTGATATAAAGGTTCCTGACTATGTGGGTTCGCTTCCCAATACACCATTGTTGTTTGAACTATTGGTTGAGGATGATTGGTGAAGTTCCAAGATCCTAACCATGTCCTATTGTAGCAGAACAAATTGTTAGTTTTGGGATTCATGAAATTGGGTGTGGGATTCTTGTGTTCCCATATACTATTCTTCACGAACCAATTCTACTGCTTGGATTTGTTGTTCCAAGTTTTCCATCTACTGGTTAAGGTCACAAAATGAGTGTTTTCATCCATGAGTGATGAGATTGATGGAAGCACCAATGAATGAGGGAATTAAATTTATAAAAGAACGGATTGGGGAAAAGAGACAGAAGTGGGCTTCTATAGAATTCGGGCTCTTTAAGTCAGATAATCATTGAGGTGTGGGGCTTCTTCCTTTCAAATTTCACAACACTTCTCTAATACCATCACCATCACCTTTTAATTAACATTCATAACAAACAAGTTAGTGCCAACATATTTTTTTTGACATATAGTAAAGTTAATATCTGCACCTCATGATTTTATATATGTTAAGGTGAAACATATATTACATTTTGAATTTCATATCTACCTTATAGGTTTATTAACTAGAATCACATGCCAAGAGATGGATTTTTCTAGGATAAATGTCAGGACATTGACCAATGTTAGAAGATTTTAATTTTTTTTCCTATTATGTGTATGTGGCAAAATTAATTACCCATTTTGTGTTGGGAGATGCGCTATCAGTGCTTCCTTTTCAATTAAAATATATACGAGCGTACGTGAACCAATCACGTTAGAGACACTTTTGGGTTGGGTGCCTTTAAAGAAACTAAAGGTAGTAACATATCTCATGGGATTGAACCACATAGTGCAATCTTGCCTCCCTAATCTCACATCATTGTCCTGGTTCATCATTATCGTCAACAACAAAATCAATGATTTTTTAACACGTCAAACTAGACAACAATCTTGGCAAGCTTATTCAAGTTCTTCACTTCGTCGAAGCCGAGGTTGATCATATTATAGATGTTTAGGGATTTCATGATGTAGTAAAGGATTTTTGAGAGGATCTTGTTGAGGGGTGGCTTGAAGATTTGGGAAGGGTTGTGATCCATCATAATAACGACATTGAATTCAACTTCACAACATATGAACTAGTTGATGAGCTTTTGGAGCCAAGTGATAGAAAGCAGAGCATCGCCAGAAAGGGTCTTGCATCGTCGATGATAATAAATCAAATAATTAGTCAAAATGTTCTTAAAAAATCTTCAGGTCTTTTAACTTTTGATTGTGGTTCTCATCTTTTGGCTTGACTTGATTTCTTCGAGTGCTTATTCAACCCATAAAAGAGCTCAAAGTATTCTATGTTGTTGCTAGTTTTTTATTTTTGGATATGTAAGGGTTAAGGGTGAAAAATGATTTGGATATGATAAAAGATTCACAAAGAAAAAAAAAACACAAGGAAACTCGAAGAGAAAGAAAGAAACAAAGAAGAGTAAAGAGAAAAGACACATTAATCCAAGATTTATGAGGCACGATTGTGCCACGGCACCCAATCACATAAGACACATTATTGCTTTAAGAGCATCTTTTATAAAGCACACATTCTTATAATGTTTCTCATGTGATTAATCCATATGGCACATTCGTTTTTTCTTTTCTTTTATCAAAAGGGAGGCGGTGATGGCGGTAACGCCTCTCGCAACACCAAATAAGTAATTAATTTCTCTATACACATACTGGATGGAATTGTTTCAAAATCACTATATATGAACCAATATACCGTTGGATGTGTATACTTTGGGATAAACTACATGTTAATTTACATTTTAGGTTAACACTATAATTTAATAATATTATATCTTTGTATATCACAAATAATAATAAATAAGACAAACAGTATATATTAAATATTGCAAATAATATATTTCAACATAATACACACTCACACACACACACATATATATAGGGGTTAATATTTCTCTAGCCACTTGAAATAAGCTTATCTCAAGATATCTCTTATAACTATGTACTATAAGTAGTACATAGTTATAATATTAAAGCTGTTTTTTTTCTCTATTCTTAGTCACTTTTCAGAACTTGTCTATTGACGTGGAAAGAGAGAGAAAAAACAACTATAACATTGTAACTATATACTACCTGTAGTACATAATTAAAAGGAGTAGCTTGAGATAAGCTTATATCAAGTGGCTGGAGAGAGATATTTTTTCTATATATATAACTATGTACTACGAGTAGCACATATTTATAATATGTTTTTTTTTCTCTCTTCACGTCAACAGACAAGTTCTGAAAAATGACTGAGGAAAGAGAAAAAAAAGTAATTTTAACGTTAGTACATAGTTAAAAGAGGTAGCTTAAGATAAGTTTATATCAAGTGATTGAAGAAATGTTAACTCTATATATATATGGCTTTAATATTTTTACAGTAAATGTAGACAAGTTATTTATATTTACTTCCAAAACGACGTCGTTTTGGGTTGAAAGATTAAAAAATTAAAATGAGAAAGACTATTATAATCTTGAAATAAATTATAATTACAAAAATACCTTGATTTTTGTCCCAAAATGACAACTTTTTTTTAGCTCAATATAGATAACTTATCTACATTGACGGCAGAAAAAATGAACTTTATATATATATATATATATATATATATATATATATATATAAATGACAAGATATTCTTACGCCGGTATAAGAATAAGAAGTTTTATACCAAATTTTGATTATTGATTTGTTTACATTTAACGACTCAAATATTTAATAAATCCGAACTGTTACATAAAAATAAGATCAACGATTAAGATTTAAAGTGTAACTTTACATCCTATTGTACTTCTTATTAATCTTATATATATATATATATATATATATATATATATATATATATATATATATATATATATATTCAGAAGAACAATTAAAAAAAGTCACATAATATATATATATATATATATATATATATATATATATACTTAAAATGAGCACAAAAATATCTCAATTGAAAATAAAATGAAAAACAAAACATATCATATATTTCTTATGTCAAAAAATTTCCACAAAGGCTAATAATAGTGTAAGAAAGAGGGTGACCAGACCTGATAGCATATGCTTGCGGTTCCTTTTTGATGCCTCGCTGTCCCGCCATCAAAAAAGAGAATATCCATTGTTCTGGTCCTTCGCATGTGTCTTAGATTCTTTCATTCACACACTCTCGCTCTTGCTTGCGTGCACAAACCACTACAGACACAATACCACATTATTAATCTACCTTATTGAAAGGCTGTAACTTTATATTATACTTCTCACATATTTGCTATCATCATGTACACTACTTCCCTCTCTATAAATCCCTCTCTCTCTCCTCCTTTTCTCTCACCTGCTACCACCAGCACCCCTTCTTCTTCATCATCACATTCTTCATACCCTCTTCATAATTCTGTTAGATTTCATCGTTTCCAACCACTTGGATCCAAACCCATTAACCCCTTTTGCAGAAAAGCACGGTTGTGCTCTTTGCAAAGGTCGAAGAGTGTGAAAAGTAGAGAAAGTTTTGTTCTTGGAGCTACCAACATGACTATATCAGAAGATAGTTTGCTAGAGGTGAGGGAGGAGGAAGAGGGTCCTCCTGATTCTGCTTTGCTTGACCCTGAAATCAATTCAAGGCCTCGTCGAATTGCTCTCTTCGTTGAGCCTTCTCCTTTTGCGTGAGTCCCTTTTGTTGTTAGCTTTTTAATTTGGTCTTCAATCTGCAAAGTTTGTAGTTTCCAATCCTCATTTATTGTGGAATGATTGAAACCACCAAACATATTTATATCTACTATATATTTTATTATTTTTGTTCAAAGTTGAAACATGGGACTGCATTGATTTTCAATTTTTACAGCAGTTGACTTGCCTTATTGTTCTGATCCAGAGTTGAATTTGTGTTGTTTGATGAATTGACTGTGATGGGCTGTGCTGATGTTCTATAGATCAGATGGATTTGAATTTGATCTTCATGAATTCTTTTCTTTTGTTTTTTCGTTTTGTGTAGTCCTTGCTTTATATTGTAATTGAGCTAATTTTATCTTCATGTGCTTTGGAATATCATATCTATCAGCTTAATATCTTAGTCTTGCCATCAGAAAAGTGAATCTGACCTATATTCTGCTGCTTTACAGAGACTCAAAATTGTGAATATTTGGGAGTAAAATCAAAGGTTAAATACAGCTTATGAATGTGTGACCAGGCATTAATTCAAGGAAACGTTGATGACAAATTAAACTCCAATGTTTTCTAGTTTCTGTCTGCATTACACTTGGCATTATTCATGTTAATCCTTCATAAGAAGAGGGTGGTGTCAGCTGTAGAAGAAAAAAACTTGTATCTTAATTTTAAACACAATACTTATTTGTGCTATATCTATTTTGCAGATATGTCTCAGGATACAAAAATCGTTTTCAGAATTTTATAAGGAACCTACGCGAAATGGGAGATGAGGTAACTTATTGTACTTCTTGTTTTTCCCCCCTATACATATGCATGTTTATTTTCCTCTATATTTAGTGCTTTTATATGGTATCCCCAACAATTCAGAGGACAGCTGGAACAGATAGCTTCTTCATTATAAATACATTGTTTAATCATTTATCATGTATTTCTTTTATGTTAAAATTGTAAACTAACTGGTTAGCTTTATTTGTTCATGTCATAGGTGATGGTTGTGACCACACATGAAGGAGTACCCAAGGAATTTTATGGAGCCAAACTAATTGGATCCCGGAGGTTGCTAACGTTACCTGTTTAGATTCCTAGCTTATTTTTCTTTTCATCCTTGCTGTTCTCTACTTTTCTTCTTCTGAAGTTGTTTTCAAATCTTAAACTTGCTAACTTTAAGTTATAAGGTGCTTCATTTTGTTTTCCCTTAATCACGGTCATATTTGTAACCTATCATCTAGCTTATCTCATATATCACTAGTATGAGTGTATTTGGATAAGTTTTAAAAGCAAAGCGCCTTTATGATATAGCATTTTTTAGAGCTTTTTTTTTTTCTTTTCAAAAGCTACTTTTTCTAACTTATGAGAAAAGTACTTATTAAGAAAGCGCATTTTTCTTAATAAAAGCACAAACTAACATATCCTATTTGTTCACTTATTTTTCAATTTCACTAGTAAGTACTTATGGTATTCACTAGTTGGATGCTAATATGTTCTTTAAAGTTATGGTTGCTACCAAAGCCATTGCTTCATACTAATGATTTTCATTTAAACAATAAAAAAAAATGAAAAATGCAGCTTCCCTTGTCCCTGGTATCAGAAGGTACCCCTCTCCTTGGCACTTAGTCCAAGAATAATTTCAGCGGTTGCCCAGTTTAAGCCTGACATAATACATGCATCATCGCCAGGCATAATGGTTGGTCTGCAATTCCTTTATCTCTTCATTTATTAACTACTGTATTTAGAGAACATTATAGTTGTAAAGACTTATTTATCTCATATCTGAGATTGGCTGAATTTCAGGTTTTTGGTGCTCTTATCATTGCAAAGCTTCTGTGTGTTCCTATAGTCATGTCCTATCATACCCATGTACCAGTGTAAGTTACATATTTACTCGGATTTCAGATTTTCTCAATATATTTCACATTTGCAAAGCTATGATATCTGGACTTATTTGAGACTAAATCCACTAATTCTTATGGCTGATCATATTTTTTGTTCAGATACATTCCAAGATATACCTTTAGCTGGCTGGTGCAACCAATGTGGTTGGTCATAAGTATGTATGCTCTCTTGCTGCATTTATCCAACTTAGAATCATATTTTGTGAGAATAACTTGAATTTTCTGTTTTATTCAGAATTTTTGCATAGAGCAGCTGATCTGACTCTGGTGCCATCAGCTGCCATTGCTAGGGATCTCGAAGCAGCTAGAGTAACAGCAGGTGAACATAAACACCCCTAATCAAGTGGTCTTTCAGCTTTGCTCAATTTTTAACAGCAGCTGAGCATAAGCATTTCTTTATATCCCTTTGTCAATGTAGCAATTTTTTGTATAACTCATTTCTCCTTTGATGTCCAGCTAACAAGATCCGTCTTTGGAACAAGGGTGTGGATTCTGAAAGTTTCCATCCCCGACATAACTCCCATGAAATGCGACTAAGACTGAGGTGTGGACCTTTTGTCATTTTCATGTGCTCTTAGTTTGATATAATGGGGTTTCATCTTTTATTATTCTCTGTGTCATACAGCAATGGTGAACCTGAGAAGCCCTTGATTGTTCATGTTGGACGGCTTGGAGTTGAGAAAAGTTTAGATTTTCTCAAAAGGTAGAGAACATCTTGAAATTTTCCAAACATGAACTTACAATTGTATACAAAAATTTTCACTCCATCTTAGTAAACTGGAAGTGTTGAAAACTTCTTTTGTTAGTTATTTATGTACTGAAGCTGAAAGATGGTTAAAACATTTTCAAATTATATTTTCTAGCAATTCACTTTTGAAATGCCCCTAGCTTTCTGTTACTTCTTCACACCATAGCATATAATAATATATCTAGCATGCATACTTGAATATCTGTATCCTTCCTTGACATTTGAAACACATTATTTGGCAGCGTCATGGATAGGCTTCCTGAAGCACGAATTGCTTTTATTGGAGATGGACCCTACAGGTGACTTACTCTGATGTGTCTTTACTTTCCATGTCAAGCACTTTGCTGTGGCTTTTAAGTAATAGCTTTCCCTTAATTGATGTTGTATCCTCTTTCATCTCTCCTTTCTAATCACATAATGGCTGCTTACATCGTGTAAAGGGTTTTATTTCACCTTTTTGTTCCTTTTTTTCTTAAGGGTTTGGGAAAATTTTTACCATTTTCTTATGTCACACCCCACTATCCTTTATTGTGGTGAAGCCCAACTCAGCTGTCCCACATATCATAATCTTATCCAAGTAGTCAAATAGTACTCGTCTGTCTTTAGATAACGCTTAGGGTGAGCCTTTGAACAGTGATAAGGTTGCTTCTTGTGGGTCACTGGTTTGAATATGGTAAACTGTCTTTTTGCAAAAATATAAGAATGAGGGTGTGTATAATCAGCGCTCACCCCTACCCTCACAAGGCGGGGGAGCCTTCTGTATCAGGATTTGCCCTTTTTTGTCTTTAGATAATGCTACGTTAACTATAAAATCTTTTGGCACCTTTTATTAACATGGGTTCTTAACTTCACAGGGAGGAGCTGGAGAAAATGTTTGAAGGTATGCCTGCAGTATTCACAGGAATGTTAGGAGGGGAAGAACTATCTCAAGCATATGCAAGTGGAGATGTCTTTGTTATGCCTTCAGAGTCAGAGACACTTGGTCTTGTTGTTTTGGAGGCAATGTCTTCAGGGATTCCTGTGGTGGGAGCACGAGCTGGTGGAATCCCAGATATAATCCCTGAAGATCAAGATGGCAAAATTGGTTATCTCTATACCCCGGGTGATCTTGAAGACTTCTTGAGCAAATTAAAGCCTCTTTTGTTTGACATAGAGTTGAGAGAAACCATGGGAAAAGCTGCACGTTTGGAGATGGAGAAGTATGATTGGAGGGCAGCCACGAAGAAGATTCGCAACGAAAATTACAATGCTGCCATTTGGTTCTGGCGCAAGAAAAGGGCTCAACTGTTAAGACCATTTCAATGGCTAGCTAAACGCATTTTCCCATCACCAGAAGTCAACGTATAAAGGGTGATGCAAATGCACTTTCCAAGGTTTGGATGGTTCCTTTTGCATGATTGCTTTGGCTTCAAGAAAAACCTTTTATGGGAGAAACTTGTTGATTGAGTGTACTGCATTCATTTGCTGTATATAATGGAACAAAAAATATGGTAGCTTTCACCGTATTTTGTGCCATTATAAAAGTGGACTAAACTTGAATGTCAATTCATATTGTGATATGTAAAAGGAGAGTATCAAGATACATTGGGCAACTAGTGATTTTAAAACACAAATATGCAAGAATATCATAACAGAAAAATAATGCAAATACATGGCCCTTGTGAGAATCCAAGACTCGGGTTAAAATCACATGAAATACAAATTTCTGTCCAAAAGTATAGTTTTATTTTTGTGGAGCCTGACTATATGATAGGGATTTTTATTTTTTATTTTTTTTGGAAAAAAGAGATTAGTCTGTCTTGATATAAAATATTCAACTATTCGATATAAAAAAGTCTGACCATGCTTTAAATAAGAAAAAATCAATGGTGAATTTTTATATGGACAAAAAGCTAAAAACTTTTAGACGACATAAACAATCAAATGTGAATAAAATAATCAAAGCCAATATTCCTAATCAATAATGATATTCGTATCCACTAATCTTGCCATTGCACAAGAGCTTTAGTTACGTTGATGCTAACTCCGAATTTCGTTTTTCAACATAACGGCATTCCTATCCTTATTGTGCCAGCAAGGAAAGGAGAATCCCAACCTATTATAAGCGAAAAGCATAATGTCCCTACCACAAAATAATGATTGCCCACAAAGCCACTCGAGTGAGTATCTCGCTATTTTCATTGAGGTTATATATTTTAATCTTAGTGCCATTACATCATTATTGAAAAAAGAATAACAATAATTATAACCGACGAACTTTTTTCTTTCTTTCTCAATTGTATGTCCCTAAAAATTCTCTTCTACGAACACTTATTTCTCAATGAAATGTTTATTTATATATACAATCAAGTTTCAAATTCTTAGAACAAAATATCATTTATTTTAGAAGTAATTTCAATCAATCGAAATACTTGCTGAGACTTATATTTATGCAAGCAATTTTGAAATCTTGTTTTAATAATTATAAAAGATAAGAGGGGTTTTACCAAAAAGAAAGAAAAGAAGGCTTAATGCATAATTTTTCATCTCAAAAAAAATAATTATTATTTTATAAGTTAGCTTTAGGTCACAAACGAATGTTGAGCTGCCTCCAGCTATTTAACATAATTTGTATATATATATATATATATATATGAGAGATATTCTTACTACCAAAATTTTTCACTACCAAATTACTATCTATCTAACCATCATTAGATTAACATTTTCTCTCTTTTCAAATTTTTTTTAACTTTCTCTCTTTGATCCAATAGTGATGTGATGGGTAGTAAGTTAGTAGTGAGAATTTTTGGTAGTTAGAATATCCTCACTCATATATATATATATATATATATATATATATATATATATATATATATATATGACAGGTTATATTTACAGACTTTTTTGTTTACAAACTACACTATCTTCTCCCGGGAGAACACTAGTCACACTATCTTCTCCCGGAAGAACACAGTACAGTTTGTAAAAATTTGTAAAAAAGGTTCGTAAACGGATCATTCCCCTGTATATATATATAATATCAGAATCATTTTTATACCGCTATAAGGTGGGATTTCTATGTTGTGGCTTTGATTCTACTATATGAAGCACAAATTCAACAAATCTGATTGCAGAGGGTTATGAACAATTCATTAAAGCAACGGATATTAATGAAAATTTTATTCTGAACGAGGAACCTAGTAGTTGTAATAATGGGATGAGTCTTCTGTAGTTTACCTTGTGTTCGAGACCAGACTAGACTTCGGATCTTGCCTATATGGCCCATTGGGCTGAGGCTTTCTGATGAATCTTGTGGTCCACCAGTTTCTTTTTCGGCCCTACTCATAGCAGTTTACTTTCCAGAAGTTTATGGTATTATATTCGAATCTATCTATAAAAAGAATAAAAAGGCCCAATATAGCAATCAATCCCTAAATATAAGGGAACTAAACCTTCTTAAGATGCAGTCACTTCTCATTATAAATAAGTAGTAAGGAATTTAATTTATTAATTTTAATTAAAGATCTTGAGTTTGAATCTTGATAATGGAGAAAATGGTCCTAAAAAAGTTATATTCATTACGGTTTTGATAGAGTTTAAATCGAATTAGTCGAATTTCTGATCAACCAGTGAAATTTATCTCTTAAAAGAAAAGGTTTAATTCTTCAAAAATATATCAATATAAGTGCCTTCTTAATATAAAAACATGAAGTATTGAAATGTCTTTAAGTGATAAATATATATATATTTTTTTTAACCAACGATCTCGAATTTAAATCCTAGCAAAATGGACTTTACGAATTCTTTATCTCCCAATCCAAAAGAAGTTGGAGCAATTAGTGTCTCGTAACTCGTAAGTCATAACCTTTTTGTCCATTTGCTCAAGGATAGGAACTCTTAAACCTTGATCCATTGGCTACCTTGGGGAGAATAATAGTTTAATAAAAGTCCTAATATCTATATTTCCTAAACTTTATTAATTTCTCACACTCATCAAGATGCACACTGATTGTATTTGCACACGATTACATTGCAGGGATAACTGAGCTAATTGATGGTTCAATTTGCTAATAACTCAAATTAATTTTTTTGACTTGTGTGTTGGCTTGAGATTATTATTTGATTTAATTTTGTTTAAGCATAAATTCGAGCTCAACTCATTGGTTTTTGAGTATTTGTGGAGCTTCATACATCAAATTTTATTGCCTTTGAAGTAAATTTTGATTTCTTTTCTGATTAGTAATAATTTTTTTCATATTTATATGGGGCAGGTTATATTTATAAATTTTTTTGTTTACAAACTCTTACAAATTACACTATGTAGGACTGGTCCTACATTAATCACACAGTGTACGACCGGTCCTACATTAGTGTAATTGTAAAAAAAATTTGTAAACGGATCTTATCCCTATTTATATAATTCAAGGTTACTATGATGAAAATTAGAAGTCAAATCTTGATGATCGAAAGTTAACTTCTGGATCTTGTTTCTTCTATGGCCCAATCTAATATATTAGTGGTCCAAAAAGTAAATATTGGTTGGAAAATCCAGCATAGAATCTAGGGTCTGTTTGAAATTTGTTTCGAAAAATAATTTTTGATTTTCAAAACAAAAAATAAAAAAATCTTTGATAAAGTCTGATTTGTAAAAATAACAATAAAAAATTATAAGGGTTTTTTTTTGTTTTTTAAATTAAATTTAGAGAACATATCTGAGTTATTATGATTTTGTGTTTTGACTTTTAACTTTTAAAAGTAAAAAAAAATAGAAAATACATATTTTATTAACTATTCTACAAAATAATTTAAAAATAAAAAAATCAGAAAACAATCAAACAAACTCTAAATCCTTAGCCTCGACGATATTGAACATTTGGGGATCAAAACCTTGCTTCTGTTCAAGAGCTCAAAGTTGTTCCTATTATTTATGGGTTCACTTTTTCTACATTTAATATAGATAACTTATTTACATTGAGTCCAAAACGACGTCGTTTTGAGGCGAAAATCAAGGTATTTTTGTAATTATAATTTTTTTCATGGTTATAATAGTCTTTTTCATCATAATTTTTTAATTTTTCAACCCAAAACGACGTCATTTTGAGAGTGAATGTAGATAACTTATCTACATTCACTTTAGAAATGTTAAAGCCATTATTTAATTACTATAACAACTTAAGCATAGTCTCGTTGTCAACAACTCAATGCTACACTCAAGGACCAAATATCTGGAAATGGATCTTAATTCTAGAAATTATCTATTAATATTATAATTATATCTTAAAATGGTTTAGAGTATCTCATAAGATCTTTTAGGGTTGATTTTTATAACACTTCACATATTTGTAAATGCATTATTAATGATTGAATTATGGATTAGAGAATTTAATTAGTGAAAATCCTAGAATTCTGGTAAAAATACACTCGAAGGGCAAAATGTTAATTTGACAAATATAGTAACCCTAAAATTATGAAATGATATAATTATACATTATTTGATGAAAAAATATTGGATTGGAATTCATAACGAAATTTGGAGTGGATAGGTAATTTTCGAGAAAATTGATGAATAATAATTTTTTAGGATGAAATACCGCAATTTTACCGGAAAACTCAAATGAGATTATTGTCTTAGGATTGAATTGTGTAAAAATATCTAAGTCTTGGATTCTAAGAGAAGTTTCAAGAAGAATAATTATGTAAATTGAATTTTAGAATTTTGAAAGTTTACCTAAAAGTCAAAATTGGTGGCTAGACTTATTTGGTCTTGAAATTAACTTGGTTTGGCTTGTCTTCTTCCTCCTTATACCTCCTTGGCTGAAACCTCCATTGGTGATAAGTAGGGATGTGCATGGGTCGAACTGAATCAGATTTTTTTTATAAAATCGAACCGAATTGGTTTAAATGGTTCGGTTCGAAAGTGGTTCGGTTCGGTTCAAAAGTGGTTCGGTTCAGAAGTGATACGGTTCGGTTCGGAACAGGTTCGGGTCGACCCTTTTTTGAAAAGAAAAAAAATTAAAAATTTTAAAAATAAAGTTATAAAAATCAATTTGGTTCGGTTTGAAAACGGCTCGATTCGGTTTGAAAACAGTTCAGTTCGGTTCAAAATGGATCAGTTCTTAAACTGGTTATAAAAATCGGTTCGGTTCATGAACTGGTTCTTTAAAAATCGGTTCGGTTCATGAACTGGTTTTTAAAAATCGGTTATTTTAATGACAGTTCGGTTCGGTTTATGGTTCGGTTCAATTTTTTGGTTATTTTGCACACCGCTAGTGATAAGCTTGGTTGCAACTTTTTATTTTGTCATCAAATCAAGAAAGTTCCAACATGAAAAATACTTAGAATCATTTGGTGATCAAAACCCCTAAAAGCAATCCTTAAAAAAGTGAGTGAGTGAAGAGAAAACTCACCTTGAAGGTGGCGATTTTTATGGTGTCTTGAAGCTTGGAGAAGTGTTTTAATTCACTGGAATTTGGAAGCTTTAAATTCATTCTTTAGGCTATTGTGAAGACTTTTGTGGTGAGAAAACCTTACTTTCATTTTGTTTTGTGATGATTTAATACTTAGGTTTTCATGAAAGTTATAAGCTTGAATAATGATGTTCAAGTGATTTTGGACTTGGTTGTAGTTAAAAAGAATGATAAGAATTAAAAGTAATCGGTGGAAATGTGTTCAAAATATTATTTTGACACCTTTGTAATTTTCAAAATTTTGAAGACATAATGTGATGTGTATGTTGATGCGTATGGTTGGAGAGGTTTTATGGCTATGTCCCTTTGAAATTTATTGTTTGTATGGATTAATAAACGGTAGAAATCCAATAAAAATTTAAGTGATTTTGGTGAGGACACTTAGACAAATTTTCAAGGTGAAATATTGATGATTTGTGAAGGAAGTTACTGATGGATAGTGTAATTAAATTGGTGATTGTTTGAATCATAAATAATGAGGTTAGATAAGAATTTTAAGCATTGGAATTGTTGAAAATTCCCTTGGCCCTTGGCATGCACATATTTGGCCATGTGTAGGATTTTTAGGAAAAATGTTGTAAATTATGTTGTGCCTTGATGGAGGGTGTGTAAATTATAGGTGATTTGGTTAATAAGGTATTAAAGTGATGAAATTGGTTAGAAAGAATTGAGGACACAATGAGGAATTTGATTGCCTTAAAAACGTGGGCTATATGTGTTTGTGGGGGGTTATTATTTTGTAATTGCTTGTGTTTATCAAGCATGTGTATTGATCATTGTAGGTTGCCTTTCTTGGATCCGATTGTAGAGGATTGGGCTTGGAACTTGTTACAGGTAAACTTCTGTGTATCTTGGGATTAGTCCTTTTGTGTGCTCCACCATGTCTTTTGGGGAATGGTTGGAATTTGTGACCTGTGATGATGTTTAATAAAGTATGTTCATACATATAATATGTTGTGTGAAATATGCATGCTGTTTGTGAGGCTTGATTGCCTGTGAAGTCTGATTGCTTTTGGGGCCTGATTGCCTGTGAGGCCTGATTGTCTGTTCTTTGATCAGTAGAAAATTGGGGTGACTTCCGCCGGATAGGACTCTTTGTGGGGGTTTCGGTTGACATTGTGCCTTAGAGTAGTTAACACTCTAGGAATGTCTTGGGAGTTATATGAAGGATCCTTGAACAATATCCCTGATCGATGTTCTCGGATTTGTGCCTAGTTGGTTGTTGATTGTTTGATTAATTGATTGATAGTTTGATTGTATGATGTACTATATGGATATTATCTCTGTTTGAATATTTGAGTGAGCCATTAGGTAGAGTGACCCTCCAGGACATGTGGTTTATTGAGATTGTCAAATCTCAGCCCACGTTATGGGTGCCATTTTCAGGTACCACTAATGCTGCTGAATAAGCATTGGACAAGAAGTTCACTTAGTGTAGACACAAACATGTGGAGTATTTTGACACGTACATAGAAGTGCATGAGGATTTATTTGACATTTTGAGATATTATGTTGATGCACATTGTAGTTGCCTATTTTGTATCATTGACTTAGTGCATGAACATTGGTCTTGTATGTGATGTTGTGGACATGCTAAGGGTTGTTCATGCTTTTGTGTCTAAGTCATTTGATTATTATGTTGATCATGTAATAGTTGTATTTACTTAGTTGTTGTAAATTGTATCATTTGAAGATCTTGTATATGTAAATATTGATGTATTGTATGTGATGCAAGGGATTTAAGCCTATTTTAGATATTGATGATGTATAATATAATGGATGATAAATGGGACATCATGTATAAAAGAGTAATGAGAGGAATTGTTAATGTGAGAAGGAATTGAAAATTGAGTAAATAGATATAATATGAATTGATGAATATTGTGGGTTGTAAGTGCACAAGGTATATTGATCCTTTTGATTCCACCCTTTTGGTCAATTAGTTACCCTTTTTGAGTATTGGAACACTTTTGTATAAAGTGGGAAAAAGTTGTTAAAACAAAGGAAACTATGATGAATTTTCTAGAAAAATAGTGTGATTTTATCCTAACTTTGAGAGACCATAACTCTCTCCATAGTGGTCCAATTATGGTGTACCATACCTTATTTTGAAGCTTAGGATGTCCCCTATATTTTCATAAAATTTGGTGTCATTTGGAGTTGTAAAAACTGTCCAGTCTTTATTTGGTTACAGACAGTTTCTGTTCGCGCTGTAATTTACAGCATTGGTGTGCGATTTTAAAAAATTCATATCTCTCTCACTCTCTCATTTCTTACCCAAATTAGACTTATGACATATCAAATTAAAGCTTGAGGTGTCTACTAGAACATAGTAAATTTTGGGAGAAAACTACGAAGTAGAACGACTACAGTTCGAAAAGCAATGAAGGGTGTTAGTGGACCCATTAGTGCAGTGTTGACAGTTTTAAGAAATTAAATTACGGTGAGCGTATCTGGAGCTATAGAACTCCAATTGACGCATGTGATACATTGTTGGAAAACTAGAAGAGTCTAGTTTAACTATCAAAAGATGAGAATTTATGGATATGTAGTCCATCTATAGTTTTGATAAAACTAAGTGTACATTAAGTTGATAAAACGTTAAATTGTGTATTTTAGCTTCGTTGGTTTATGGGAACCACATAACAACTTTAAATAGACGTTGTACGATGTTAAGCAATAGTATTTATGATTCCGCAATAGTTTGAGTTACAATCACATTTTTAGAAAAAAGTTGAATACGGTCATTTTATAAACGTAAGAATTTTGCAAAGAGTATTAAAGAGAAAAATGTTTATTGTACTTTTAAATAAATTATTGTGATTGTGATTGTAATTGCATTTAATATCATAATATATGACAACATTACCAGATGCATACAGGGTGTTACAATTTTTATATTTTCTTCGACAAGATCAACGTCAACAATACATTTCTCCTAAACTAAGTCGGTGGCAGATGAACCCAAATGAAAGATATGAAAATATTGAGGAAGAAATATAAAAATAAAACGTAATATATATATAATATTATCCATTAAAAAATAGCAATAAATAATCAAAAGGAAAAATAAAAATTCATAAGAGGAAAAATAAAAGAATAAAAAAAGAAAATACAAGAATAAATAAATAGGAGAATAAATATTGAGAGATAAAAATAAAGAAGGAAAGAAAGAAAAAAGAAAGAAGAGGTAAAGAAAAGAATAAAGGGAGATAAAGAGAAAAAGGAGAGGATGTAGGAACAACAATGTTTCTCTTTTTGTGCCATGTAATAAGAAAGCAATTTTTTTTTTTTTTTATTCCCCAAAACAGAAATAAATCAGTTCATTTCTGGGAACAAAAATATAAACCTGTTTTGTCAAACATTATTATTGACTATTTATGTTCCTTGAAATGATTTTTTTTAAAAAAAATTGATTATGAGAAAGTTATCATGCATAGTTACATATCCTTAGACAAATTATGTATAAATCATTTTTAGACAAAAGAAAAAGATAACTACTAATTTTGTCACTAAAATACACACTAAATTCTTCATTAATTGTATGCTTCCTTCTAATCGTAGAGTCAAAAGTATTAAGTGTATAGATTAACTAAATTCAAACAAATTAAAAATATAGTATAATTGAATGGGAAAGAATTAGAAGTTAATATCACAAGCAAGCAAAGCCTTTTCTAATTTTTCTAACACTAAACATTATTTTTTATAAAGAAAAAAATCTTAAAAAAGGTTATATGAAAAACCGAAGAAAAAAACCTTTAAATATATTACTTGAAAAAAAAAGGTGAGTAAGACAAATTTTGAATTTTTTTCTTTTCGACAGTATACTGCTGAATTTTTAAATAGACACTAGGAATGAATAAAATAAACACATGGAAATACTGATAATAAATCCAATTTAACATGCCTACCTTGCAATTATAGAAGAAAAATCCATTGAACCACAGGAAAAATCTGCAGTGAATTCACGAGTGACATTGGAAATGGAATGGTGATATAAAAGCCAAACTATAGAAAACAAAGTCATATGACAAAGGGTGCGAAAATTGCATACACATGCTTGTAATGTAGTTTGTTTTTTAATAATAAGTGCTTGTAATGTAGTTAATGACTTAATGTAGTAGGGTAGGATGTAGTAGGGACGGCTGTACAGTCCAAAACATGCATTTTGTTAAATGAATCTGCTTTCCTAGTCCTCTGTTACGGACGGGCAGTTATTATTAATATAGACAATTGGATTCATTTGTCTGTTTTGTGTCACACTCATTGGGTCGATTTCCCTGCCAGGGGCATTGAATCACCCTTCAAGTCTCTATCATACCAACAATTTCCCTCCTACCATCCTAAATTATAGCAAAAAAAAAAAAAACCAACAATGATAATAGTCATAAACTCGTGACATATTCTTTGTATACTCTTCCGTAAACGGAATATGGCGATTCTGGCTAATTGGGTCCATGTCTCCATTACTTGCAATTAGCCACCTCTTGGGTATATAACATTCACTGTTTTTATTAGGAATGAAGGATTAAGCTTGGAGATAATGGGGGCATGGTAAATTTTTTTGTTTGTGTATTTCAAGAAAGATATGTCTAATGGGCTTCATTATGTGATATATATGTCTCATGGGCTTCATTGTCCCTGTTTCTAGAAAGTTACATTTCTTCTCTCTTACATTGCTACTTGCACTTCCAATATAAGAAAAAGAAATATAAAAAACAACAATGATTTTCTAATAGTTTATGATTTCATGAATAAAGTGGATGTCAATTCGTAAAATATACCTAATCACTGGTTTTTTTGTTGTTGTAGTTTCATGAAGATATACAACATTGATAGGAATTGAACACCTCACGTGTTGGAAATTATCACAACAAATAATTAATATATCGCGGGGACTTGTTCAAATAAAACACAGCCTTTCAAATTCTTTGGCCACTTGGTGGACCGTGGCGGTTTAGTTTCACATACTATTCGTTAATATATTTGATCCTACACACACACACTTATCTCACATTCTTTATCCACAACTTTATCCTAATATACGTAACTCCAATCAATAATATCGTTATCTTCGTTCAATTCTTAAATGAAAAATAATATATATATATAAAGAAGAAACAAGACAGAGACACTTCCTCACAGAAGACTATTTTAGCTTGAACATATTTTTCGTTTCAATTTTCATTCTCTTTATCAATATTATTAATTATCACTTTCTCCTCCAGTTACCGGTCACCTGGAAAGTGAAACTGAAAAACTGCCCCTCAAATCAGGTAGAGAAAATCATTATAATGGTAGGGCCAACAACCAAACACGGCTTTGACACTGGACCCCACCACGGGAACGTTGACCAAAACAAAACGACGCCCTGACTCATTGTATTATTTGTCGTGTGGTGACCAACCATCCATTTCCATTTTCCCGTCGTTTTATCACGGACTTAATAATTTCACCGCGAGTACCCACTTTGCACACTTTTAACTATCAGTAAAATCACTCACACGGCCAGCGTTACGTACTGCATAAACTCCATGTCGTTTTCGAGTCCCGCCATCGTTTCAGGTGCCAAAACGACCTCAAGATCAACGCTGCCGTTTCCTTCTCTTCCAGGAAACGCAGAGATCTTGCCGTCAAACTTGTTCGCTTTTCCGCTCCGAATCGCCAAGGGTCGGCCCCACCCGAAATCGTTGTCGTACATGGGAAAACGCGGGGAGCTACCCATGGTGATCATTGCGCCGTCGAAGTTCCCAAGCGGAAACAGCCTCGGAGCCTTCTCCCAATCCTCTACGCCGCGGCGCACCGTAGCGTCGTCGTGTGCGACGACGTTTTGGTGAAGCAATTCGGCGCAGAAGCGTAGATCGCGAGAGAGTATGTCACCAACCGAAGCAACGGTTGGGATGCTCTGAATCGCATTGCCGAAGTAAAACGAGTCCATCTTTGGTTCCAACCTGTGGCGGCAATTCACAGCCATGCGGAACGTCGACGTTTTGGTGGAATTCAATTTCCTGGCACGTGTAACAGAACGCCATAGCTGAGCAGATAACGATTGAAACGACGAGATCTCGTTCCTCCTGTTACCGTTAACAACGGGCGTTATCTTGCCGTTGACGTTACCGTTGACGGTTTTCCAACCGTCATTCACCTGTTTTCCCATTACCTCCGCGGAATCCGGGAATTCGTTACAGTTGGCTTTCTGTTTCAGTCTCTGAATGGCCTCGCGCGAGAAGTGGAAGACGCGCTCCCGGAGAGGCTCGTCGGCGTCGAAGGTGACGGTCGGGCCGCCGGCTGGGACGGAGAGAACGGCGGCGGAGTTGAAGACTGTGTCGCGGGTGAAGTCCGGTGACCTGAGGATTTTCTTGGCTGCGCCGCCGCCGCCACCCTTGGTTATGGCGGCGAAGGTGTTGAAGAAGTGCCACAAGGAGGTGCCGTCGGTGACGGCGTGGTTGACGGTGCAGCCGACGAAGACGCCGTCGGCGAGCTCGGTGACCTGGATGGCGGCGAGGGGTTGGTGGTGGCCGGAGTAGGAAATAGTCATGTCGTAGGCGAAGAACTCCTTGAAGGAAGGGTGAACATCAACGAGGGAGGGTGAAACGACGGCGTTTAAGGTAAGGTGTTTGGCTTTGGCGTGAATGAAATCGGCGCCGGCGTCGTTGCAGAGGATGTGGACGTAACCGTCGGCGTCGGTGTAGAGGCGGCCGGCGAGGGCGGGGAAGTGGGAGAGTGCGGCGGAGAGGGATTGCTTGAGAGAAAGAATCAGGTTGTCGAAGGAGTAGGGTGGGGCACTGAGTAACACACCCTTTTGGATGTAGTGACAAGACAACATTGGAAGATCAGAAACAGAGAGCTTAAGGGTTTTCATGGTTGATTTCTGGTCTGGGTAGATTGTGCATTTGGAGATTAAGGTTGTTGAAGATGAAGGCATTTTTGTTAGATATGGTTATATGCTTCAGCTTCTTGCTCTGTGTTTGGGTTCTTTGTGATGAGAATGCTTGGTTACTAGTGGGGTTTTATAGGTGGAGGTGAAAGTGCTCTGTTTTTTTTTTTTTTTTTATTTGTTGTTTTTTTTTTTTTTAGTGTGCAATGAATAATTGAATTTTTTCTTTTCTTTCGAAAGTTAAGTAAGAATAGTTTAAAAAAAAAAAAAAAGATATTGAGGAGAATGCGACGACGTGGCTGAAGAGGGTGCTCAAGAACTACACGTGCCATGAAAAGACTTGGGGATCATTATACATTGGAAAAAAGCAAGTTATTTTCGTAGTTTGAGCTTTCATTTGTTTTTTAATTTGTCAGCATCGTTTTTAAGAAATTTTAATTATGTTATATTTTGTGTATGTATATATTTTTTTTAATAAAATTGTTTTTTTATTAAAAATAAACTAAAGGGACAATCACAATACTACCAAAAAAAAAAGGGACAATCACAATTCCTCCCGCTCCCTCTTTCCCTTCTGCCGTACATAATTTGGCTAATTCGCACGGAATTTAATTTCACCATGGTTTTTAAACATGGGTCTCTTAAAGAGAATAATATTTTATTTTATTTTTAAAATTGAACAAAATTCTTGCAAAATACTAGTTTAATACATACATACAGAATGAACATATTTGAAGTTATATTTAGAATTTGTTTGGACAGTTTATTATCAAATTGAAAATTATTTTTAAATTATAGTTAAAAATTATTTGATAATTATATATAAATTTAACTAAAAAGTTACTTTAAGGTTAAAGCTAAAAATAAACTATTTGCTAAAATAATTTGCATAAGCTCTGTTTTTATTTAAATTATTATAAAGGGTATTAAATATTTCTATTATTTAGGTAAGCATGAATATGGTAAGAAATAAAAGATAAAAATATTAAAAATAAATATTTTAAAGAAATATTAGATCCAAAAATGAACAAAACATTCTTATTAGAAGAGAGTTTAATGAAAAATATTTGTTCTTAAAAAACTGAAAAACTATTATCAATAAGCACTAGCATGATTGAAAAAATGTATACACAAACCAATACAAGAGATAACAAAAATAAAATAACAAATATAACCCCTTATTAGAATTTGGTGTCAGGTAGTTATATGGGAGATGGGGAAAGAATCTAAAAAGAAAAATGATGAATTCTCAATTAAATATGTCAAGATATTGCAGTCAAATAAAATAACAAAACCGGTAATCACAATGTCTACACAGTAATGTAAATTTATGAATATACCAAGTTACCAACTGAATATAGTTTTAAAATTTTACCTTAATTATCTCAATTTTTTTTACCGTAATAAGTGTCAAAGGATGGATCAAATGGCACTAACACACATGACTCTGCCATTTATTTATACTTGCCAAAGACCCTATCATGAACTTAATTAATTCCTAACTACCATTTCTACTCTTACATTTTGTTATACTCATCATTTTCTCCCACAAATGTCTCATCTTCATATATAACAACACTCTTGTACTTGTAATACTTCTCCATCAAACATCAATCATCATTTTGCGGTAATTTATAGTGCTTAAACAAGAAGCCTTTTCTTATCGTCCTTTTTTTTTTTTTCTATAAATCTATTCATTAATGATCTTATTTTATTTTATTTTTCATTATTATTCATCACAATTGTAAAAAAAAGCGAGACAACAAAATGAAATAAATAGTGGATCGAAGACTATTATTTGGCGCATATGAATTTTTTTAATCCTTCCATCATAATTTTTTTATATACAAATTATAACCGAAAATTTAGACAAGAGATAAACCAAAAATGACGTAGCGTACAAAATTTCCCTGGGGACAAACACTCTCCTTTGTGACATTCTCAGTATTTAGGATAAAAATATTCCTTTTTTGATAAGAATTTTATAAAAATGTGTTTGGTTATTATTATTATTTTTTTAAGGAGAAGAAAGGTTAAAAAAAAAATGTCTATATTTTAATGCAACTTTTCACAAGTAATTGATTTCTTAAAGTTATAAAAGAAGGAACAGCCTTAATATGAACAAATTTATACGTGACAGCATAAATATTTATATTTAAATAATTTTTAAAATATATTTTTAAAATTTAATAATGAATATATTATCAAATATAAATCAAGGGGTTTGCATTTGTCATTTAACACGACACAACAAATTTTCCTATACACACGACATTTTGTGGGACCCACTCTTTTTGAAGAAAAAATAATAATTACCGCACGCAAAATGAATCTCTATAACATTACACAATCACTTTCCCTACAACATAACTCTAACTCTTATAAAACCCATAAACCAAACATATTATCCGAAAGAAAAGGAAACCAAATTGGAGTTTGAGTTAAATGAATTGAATAGACAACTCTTAAATATCATTTTATATCATAATAATCACATTCTGCGTCATCACCCAAAAGCAAAAATACGCGAAGGCCTCTCAAGTGATATCCTTTTAAATTAAAGTCATTTGCCACTAGACCCGTAATTTAGTCACGTGTTACCAGAGCATTGACAATTCACAAGAGACTAAAATTTGACTAAAAAATTGGACTGAAAATCATCCATTGAGGTATGAATAATTAACAAGTGGAAACAACCTAGCCGATAATAATAAAAATTGTCAAAATTACCTTATCTCAGTATTTGTTTGATCTATTTTGTTGACACCTGTGCATTACAGTATTGTCATGTGACAAGAGCGTATATATCTAATTACCGAAGGGTGTTTTAGTTTGTTTTGTTTTTCCGTAGAAATATCTAATAGATTATTCAGTTATGTATATGAACTACGATGGAGCAGTTTTGGATGATGTTATGGACGGCAAAGTTAATTTGGAAGGTTGTAAAATTGTTTGTATATGTTTACAAGATCACAAGAGTATCTATACTTATCAAGTAAACATCTTAATTAGTCTTTTCTCATTTTGTGTCTACTTTTCTCTTCGCCTTAGGTAAAGTAGATTCGAATAGTGGTGTAATACATGTGTTTAAGGGTGTATTGGATTAAGATTTTTTTTGAGATAATTTTTTTTACAGATTTTAAAAGACATATTAGAATTGGAGGGACTTTAAAGACTTTTTTAAAAGAATTTTTTTTACAATCAAGATTTCATAAGATTGGATTTTAATAGAATTTATAAGATTTGAAAGGACAATATAGATTTATAAGATTTTAAAACCGTATGAATTTTTAACAAACATTCAAAATTACAAGATTCAATAAAAAAAATAACAAAGAAATGCAATGAAATTAATAAAAAAAAGTAAAACCTAATATAATTTTCTCAATCAGTAAAACATAATATAATTTTTAACAAACATTCAAAATTACGAAGCAACAACTCTTCACATATCTAAAGTTATACTAGTCCTCCACGCATTAACATTTTCTCGTCCATGCTCTTGGGTTTGACCAATGGATTGAAAATTATATTCTTCATTTGGTATCAAAACAATGCATATATGATTATAAAACAAATTTTTTTAATTATTAAAATAATTCTAAATTTGCATATAGAACCTAAAGTTCATGATTAAAATTTGGAGTGATATGTTGGTTTGTTTGGAAAGATCGAAATAGTATAGTTTTCAATGAGAAGGGATCTTCCCCTCAGGAGATTTTCTCTCAAGTTTCAATTTTTGTAAATAATACTATAGCTGCTAATGGAATTCTGTCAGAGGATGGCCTAGCAATGGACAGAATTGAGGAGATTTTGGTTAATTGGAGGCCTCCCCCAGCCGTTTGGGTTAAGATTAACTTTGATTGTTCATATTCAGGAAGTGGTTCTAGAGCTTCTTGTGGTGGAGTTTGTAGAGATGGGGCTGGCAATTGGATCATGGGTTACTCTCAGAAACTAAACCCGGAATCAGTCTTGATGGTTGACCTTTGGGGACTCACAATTGGACTGGAATGGGCTTGGGATCTGAAATATAACCGGATCATCATTGAAGGGGATTCTTTGATGGGAATTTAGCTGGTAAGAGAGGGATGTATTAGTTCTCATCCATGTTTTGTCTTGGTTTCCAGGGTCAGGAAGATGCTGTTGAAGGATTGGTTAGTAGAGATTGGCCATGTGTATAGAGAAGGGAATCAGGTAGCAAACTGGATGGCTGCATCTGGTAATGCCAAGGGCTGGGATACCCAGTGGTATGAGCGAGTACCTTCAGGGTGTGAGGAGTTAGTTGCTGAGGATACTAAGGGTACTATGGTGTCCAGATTTGTCAGTCTGTAGTTTTTTCTTTCTTTCCTATATATACAAAAAAAAAATGAAATAATTTATAAATTTAGTACATTAAGATAATTGTTATAGACTCATATATGAGGCCCATTCATTTACAAGCCTAACAAGGGATAATCCAAGATATTAATCAGATACAATTAAGAAAGGATATCCATCAAAGATATCAATCCTAATACGATAGCAAGACATATGGGCTTGGGCCGTCATCAGAAGCACTGAAGGTCCAGAATCCATTACCCTTAGGTAAACTATATAAATAAGAGGTAAAACCTACAGGTACTCTCTCCTTCTCTTACTGTTATGATGTCACTGTGACGCTGTCACTGTGCGCACACACACCCTCTGGCAAAACCATTTATAGTTCTTCTGTGCATAGTAATGTCATCTGCTTGACTCATCTCTCTTACTATTATAATGTTATTGTGACGCTGTCACTGTGCGCACACACACCCTTTTGCAAAGCTGTTTATAGCTCTTCTGTGCATAGTAATGTGATCTGCTTGACTCAACAATGTCTAATCCATAGATACCTTGAGAGAGTACCTAGATCCAAAAGCAACATAATAGCCCATTGGACTAGACATATTTGTCTCAAGTACATAATAATAATACATTAAGATTTTGATTGACATTTGATGTCGGATAAGCGAAAAGACGTATAAATCTAACACCTTAAAGTTTATTAATCCGTAAAAGCAATAAAATTATAAAGGGAAATATTACTATCCTTTTATATAAGATAATTTCTCTTATGCTCTCTCACTTC